GACATGAATGCATGTCAGGCTGCCTGCCAATCATGCAGCTGGCCAACTAAAGGCATACTATGCAGACAGCACTCTGAGCTTGGCATAAATGCATCTAATGATGCGCTCGCTCAATGCTTTCTAAGGACTGTCCCCTAGCACTCGCTGGTCCACTTGTTTCCTTACCTTCTTACTAGCAGGCAGAAGCTCCTGGTATATGGTCTGGGACAGAGAAAAAACTGTATGTAGTGAGTGTAGAAGAAAGTGAACATGCAACAGTGTTAGAGAGACCAAAGTCAGCATTACCTTAAAGGATCACTATAGGGTCAGAAACACAAACATGAATTCATGACCCTATAGTGTTAACACCACCATCTAGCCCCCCCTGGACCCCTCATGCCTCCATAAATATAGCAAAATCTATATTCAAGCCTGAAGCTGTAACTCTGCATGCTGTTAGACTCATAAAAACAAGCAGTCTGCTGACATCATTAGAAGTGGTGGCCTGATCCAATCACAGTGCTTCCCCATATCTCTATGAGAAAAGTTCAGTGTCTGCATGCAGAGGGAGGAGACACTGAATGTTTGGATGCATTTTAGGCAGCCATGACCCAGGAAGGATCTCTAACAGTCATCTAAGGAGTGGCTAGTGAAGTTATCACTAGGATGTAATGTAAAGACTGCATTTTCTCTGAAAAGACAGTGTTTACAGCAAAAAGCCTGACGGTAATGATTCTACTCACCAGAACAAATTAAATAAGCTGTAGTTGTTCTGGTGACTATAGTGTCCCTTTAACTATATTCATTGTCAGCCAGTCCACACAAGTTTTGTTCCCATACATCCCACTTAAGTTTCCATACTTAAGTAAGAGTATGTGAAAAGTAGTTAGGGTTGCCACCTTTCTTGGAAAAACATACCGGCCTTACTAATTTGCATAATTAATATGTATTGGTGACATCACATGATGTAAATGACAAGGAGTGACATAAGAGAAAATGCTGTAAAATCACCAAAAAACTACTTAGTTTGATTCTGCTGTATAGATGGATTCCTCCCAGTGCCCCCATGTCTCCCAGTGCCCTCATGACTCAGTGCCCCCATGTGTCGATTACTCCAGGTCTCAGTGTTCCTATGTATCAGTGTCTCAGTGCCCCATTTCTCCCAGTGTCGTGTCCCCAGGTCTCCCAGTGATCCTATGTATCACAGTGTCTCAATGCCCCATGTCTCTCTGTGTCCCCATGTATCCCAGGGTCCCCATGTCACTAGGACTCTAGGAAGACGGGGAGACCTGGGGACACGGGGAGACCTAGGGACATGGAGACACCAGTGACACTGGGAGACCAGGGGACTCTGGCTGGGACACATGGGGACAATGGGAAAATAGGGGACACTTGAAGACATGGGGATACAGACACTAGAGACACTGGCTGGGGGACATGGGGACATTGAGACATGGGGCACTGGGAGACATGGGCCACAGACACTAGGGATGCTAGATTGGAGACATGGGGACATTGTGACACTTGAGGCAATGAGAGACATGGAGGCACTAGAAGACATGGGGACAGTGAGACACTGGCAGACTGGGGGCACTGGGAGACTAGGGGTCACTGAGAGACTAGGGGGCACTGAGACACCAGGGACAGTGGCTGGGAGACATGGGGACACTGTGTCCCCATGTGTCTGTGTCATAGTATCTCCCAATGTCCCTTAGTGTCTCAGTGTCTGCCATAATGTCTCCCAGTGTCCCTTAGTGTCCCAGTGTCTGCCATAATGTCTCCCAGTGTCCCTTAGTGCCTCAGTATCTGCCATAATGTCTCCCAGTGCCCCTTAGTGTCTGTGTCTGCCATAATGTCTCCCAGTGTCCCTTAGTGTCTCAGTGTCTGTCATAATGTCTCCCAATGTCCCTTAGTCTCTCAGTGTCTGCCATAATGTCTCCCAATGTCCCTTAGTGTCTCAGTATATGTATCCTTGCAGCCTGTCCCCCCATCCCTTACTTCCCTGAGCTGTAGGCTGTCTCTGCAGGGTGGGGGTTGCTGTCTGGACTCTCTGTAGCTGCACCCCTGCAGATCAGTGAGTATAGATAGGCAGGGAGGGATATGCTGGAACTTCCTATCCCTGCCTCTCTCCACACACAGCGACCCCTACTGGCCAGTGCTGGTATTGCGGAGTAATCTCTTGTTTATACTGATAAAAATACCAGCATTTGTATTGCCAGTATCACTGCAATACCAGCACCGCCCCAAATACTGGCTGTGGCAATAAAATAAAAGCTAGGTGGAATCCCTAAGAGTAGTGTGTGAAAAAAAAAAATGTTTTTTTTTTTTAAAATCAATGGGCCTATTCCATGGGCCTGGGCCTGGAGCTGCAGCTCCATCAGCCCCTATGTTAATCCGGCCCTGGCTGCAGCAGCACAAGCCCCGGCTATATCTGATATAGTTAGCTTTCACAGACAACCCCTTAATAATGGCAGCGGCCCACCATGGCCCACTGCCGACCATAATGGAAAAGAGCTTTGATGATGCCCGTCTCACCACTGACACATATTTCCAGTCAGGTATAATATTTTGTGAGCAACTGCCTGCATGGGCACAGGATAAATTAGCTGATCAAGCTACTTGTATTAATGATATTGTACAAGATAAAACAGAGTCAGTGGAGAAATATCATTCCAGGTTAACACAGACTTTCTATGATTTGGGTTTCAGTTTCAGTACTCAGATGCTGTCAGCTGCTTTTGTTGCGGGTCTTAAAGAACCCATAAAGAAAGGCCTAATCTTGTCCCGTCCAGAATACAGGATTATTCCCTTGGATACTCTCCTCCTGGTTGCTAAAGGCCTGGAATCTGCCCAATTGCCCCAGCCAAGGAAAACTAATCCCCTAATGTTTTCCTTCCATAATCCTGCAATCAGGCCTGCTTCAGCTCCTGTCGGATACCCTGTGTTACCACCACAGGAACAACCCATGTCCCAAACTTCTAGGCCTCAACCCAGAGCCTGTTTTAATAATAATCAACCTGGCCAATTAAGGAAAGATTGTCCACATCCCAGGATCTCCAGGCAGCAGTGACAGGCCGTAAGACCACCTCATCCTGTGGCAGGCTATCCTATACTATCCTATTGTTTCTTACCCTCCTGCAGTGGCCCAAGACTACCCCCAGGCCACTTATCTTCCACCTTCAGCTGCCAATCATCCTGCAGTTCATGGTTATGCTGCCAGTCCTCCTGATAATTATGTTTCTGATAGTTACTAACCCGCTAACCACCCAGAACCCAGTCACCACCGTCCTGTTCAGCATGCTCAGCAGCCTAATCACTTTGCAGCACCCAACCGCCACTACACTGGCCCTGACCAGGCCCATTTAGATCTTGTACAATAGGTAACTGGCAAACCTGTGTCTAACACCCCTGTCATGGCAGTGTCTACAGGGGATAAAGGGGGGCCCTTAGCCACAGTGGTCCTACCCATTTAAGGTCACCCAACCACCTTTTTTAGTTGACACAGTTGCAGCCCATAGTAAGACCAGCCTAACTCTTCTTTCTTGTCTAACATTGATGTTTCATGCGTTGGTGTAGATGGTACTCCTCGAAACAACCCAATAACCAAGCTCTTACGGGTGGGCTCTGACATTCTCACACGTTTTGTTGTGTCTTCTACCTGTCCTATTAACCTGTTAGGTTCTCTCTCGCCTGCAGGCTTCTATCTCCTTTACTGCTGATGGTCAGGTTCAGTTATTAACCCCTCTCTCTCGTAAGGATAGCTCAGCTCTCTGTTCTTTTCCTCTACTATTACACATGGAGACTACCCATGAGAAGGTGAGGGTCCTAGATTCCCCCAGTGCCCTGGATAGGGTCCCAGCCAACCTTTGGTTCACAGGCCCAGATGATATTGGGCGCCTGCAAGTAGTGGTTGTGAAGCTATATGAAGGAGCAAATCCACCACGTAGGCCACAATACCCCTTGAAGCCTGCTCAGGCCCCAGTCATCTCCAAAACAGGTTGAAAGCCTTTTGCCAAAAGGTGCTCTTGTTAAATGTGAATCAAAATGTAACACTCCTCCAAGAAAACTGAAAAGGGGGAACCAGACCAATACCGTATGGTTCAAGAATAGAGTTGAGCGGACACCTGGATGTTCGGGTCCGGCGGGTTTTGGCCGAACTTTGAAAAAAAGTTTGGGTTCGGGCTTGAACTTGACCCCGAACTTGACCATTGAAGTCAATGGGGACCCGGACTTTTGGCCACTAAAATGCCTCTAAAAAAGTCCTGGGAAGGGATAGAGGGCTGCAAAATGAAGTAAAATGTGGGTAAGAGTAGGACAAGTGCCCTGCAAACAAATGTGGATAGGGAAATCACTTAAAATAACATAAAAAATACAGCTGAGCCATAAAATAGCACTAGATGGAATCTTTGATTTAGCTCTGGAAGAACATAAATCAAAATCTAAAGCATGGCTGTCAGGAGGATCACCAGAATTATCCATTTGAGAGAGGGTATTCTCTTTCATTGTTCAAACTGAACTCAACTCCTGATGCATGGAGAAAAGGCCTTCACAAGCCTCTGCTATTGTGTACATAGTTTATACTAAGTGACCCATAGGTTAAGGAGGCGGTGACTGTGGCGGTGTAGGTGGAAGCAGGAGGAGGAGGAGGTAGCCAACACTGTTTTATTTATATATATATATATATATATATTTATTTAATTTTTTTTTAATTGGGGTAGCCCCCAAAATATTGGGACATATAAAAAAAAGAAAACTGTTCCGCAGAGCGACTGACCCATGCGTGCTGCATCTGAAACTCCACTATCGCCTGCTGCTGCTCGCACAGTCTCATGAGGCGGTGAGCGGAAAGGCCGAAGTTACACTGCAGCGCAGACAGGCGAGCAACGGCAGGGTGAGAATGCCGAAAGCGCGCACAGACTGCCCGCACTTTCTGCAGCAGCTCTGATATATCTGGGTATACACCATGGCATCACGAGAGCCACCCAGAACTGACTCAACTCCCATCAAGCTAAGTTCCCGGAGGAGATCACCCAGCTCGTCTTGCTAGAGCACTTTTTCAATGTGCTCCCCAACGACATGGCGACGGCGTATTCGTATGTCAATCCATATCAACTTTTGATGCCATTTACTGCGCCTACCATAGTGACCACGGGTAACAGGGAATCAGGGTTCGATTCCGTACAGGGACCCTGACAAACGCCTACCACATGCAAGGAAGGCAGCAGGGGCGCAAATGACCCACTCCCGAAGCAAGGAGGTAGTGACGACAAATAACAATACAGGACTCTTTAGAGGCCCTGTAATTGTAATGAGTCCACTTGAAATCCTTTAACTCTGATCAATTGGAGGGCAATTCTGTTGCAGAGCGACTGACCCGTGCATGCTGCAGATGAAACTCCACTATCGACTGCTGCTGCTCTCACAGTCTCTCTAGCATGTGCAAGGTGGAGTTCCACCTTGTGGGCATGTCGCATATGAGGCGGTATAAGCGGGAAGGCCAAAATGACGCTGCAGGGCAGACAGGCGAGCAGCAGCAGGGTGAGAACACCGAAAGCCCGCACAGCCGCTACAGTGAATGTCACATCCTGTTCCAAGTTACGGATCAGTCTGGTAATGGCTTCTGGTATTCAGTACTCTTTTTACTGAAACTGCATCAGAGTCCTGGTATGTGGCCGCAAAAACACTGGTGCTCAACCCTGCACCAGACCCTGCTAATCCATTCCACACTGTGACTCCTAACTTCAACATCAGGCATACTGGGTCCCAAATGTCCGACCGCCACTTAGACAGTGTCTTGGTCCCGGTCACCGGACTGCGAAACTGCGAATGGCTCGTTAAATATGTTATGGTTCCTTTTATCGCTCCATCTGTTACTTGGATAACTTTGGGAATTTTAAAGATAATACATGCCGATGAGCGCTAGGGGACGGCCGCTCTGCTTTTGCACCCTGCTCCCTCTTATGCTGTGCTGGTGCCTCTGTGCGACCAGCGCCTCTTCCTTCAAACTGCACACGTCACTCGCATGACCTTGATTCCATGTGGGGTCTAGGACCTCATCATCCTCCACATCATCTTTCACCCACTCCTCAACCCTGCCCTCATTGCCGGTCTGCACACTGCAGAAAGCCACAGCAGTTGGCACCTGTGTTTTCCAGCATGTAAAGTCTGCAAATGACATAAGGAAATTATTTTTGAATTGTATCCAGGCAACAGTTTTCCCTATAAACTGACCTCTCAGTTTGACTTGTGAGGGTATTGCCCCGAATTACAATACTGTTATGCTGGTATTTGACGCTTCTATTTGACTCTCAGATATGAAGAGCATGCCCAAAATGTACTATTTAGCAGATTAGCACCCAGAAAAGAAGAATTTTTACAACTGCGCTGTAAGCGCACTATTTGACGCTTCTATTTGACTCTCAGATATGAAGAGCACGCCCAAAAAAGTACTATTTAGCAGATTAGCACCCAGAAAATAAGAATTTTTACAACTGCGCTGTAAGCGCACTATTTGACGCTTCTATTTGACTCTCAGATATGAAGAATACGCCCAAAATGTACTATTTAGCAGATTAGCACCAAGAAAATAAGAATTCTTACAACTGCGCTGTAAGCGCTCTAGTTGACGCTTCTATTTGACTCTCAGATATGAAGAGCACGCCCAAAATGTACTATTTAGCAGATTAGCAACCTGAAAATAAGAATTCTTACAACTGCGCTGTAAGTGCACTATTTGACGCTTCTATTTGACTCTCAGATATGAAGAGCAGGCCCCAAAATGTACTATTTAGCAGATTAGCAGCAAAACAATTAGAATTTTTACAACTATGCTGTAAGTGCACTATATGAAGCTTCTATTTGACTCTCAGATATGAAGTGCATGCCCCAAAATGTACTATTTTGCAGATTAGCAGTAAAACAATAAGAATTTTTACAACTGCGCTGTAAGTGCACTATTTGACGCTTCTATTTGACTCTCAGATATGAAGAGCACGCCCCAAAATGTACTATTTTGCAGATTATCAGCAAAACAATTTGTAGTCCATGGATCAGCGCAGCTAAGAGGAATAGGCCTTGACAGAGCCAGGAGGTAGGCATAGCAGCCACAGGAAGTTAGTGACAGCTAGCATGCTGGTTAGGGCGGAGCCATAAGGGGAGTATTTATACCAGCCATTATATGAAGTGGCCATTTTAACTGAACCTAAGCTTACCTGTCAGTTGTCCCTCCCACCCTCCCTGTATTTGGTTAGTGTAGCGGTTGGCACTTGGCTGTTCTGCAAATGTCATGTGAATAGTTGCATTCGTGTAAACTGCTGGTTTTATATGTGTTTAAAAGAAATGTATTCCTCTGATTGTTCGGTAGAATCATTCAAATAAACTAAGGGAATGAAACTACCGAACAATCAGACCTCCTGTGTGTGAAGTGTGTCCTCAATTACCCGTTGCAACATTGTTGCGAACGGGTAATTGACAAGTTAAGTAGCCGTCCTTTGTTCTCGGGGGTGGCCGCCATTCGACAAACGAACACGTGGCGGCGGCCATTTTAAAACTCCCTAACAGCGGTGTTTTGCCGTCGAGTGTCTGGAACTCAAATCGGACACTCGACTAGGCGAACACTGCTGAAACCTCCACAAGCCCAGTCCGTTCGGTTCCTAACTACCGAACGGCCCCTCGTTCGGTAGATAGAAAGAACCGAACGAGGGGATTCAGACGAACCCTCCCTAGCCTCTATAGCTAGAGGTTTTCGTGCCACGGCAGGGAATGGCCTGGTTAAATCGGAGGGTAGATGGAAGAGAAAGTGGGCATCCTGAGGTTTAGTGTGGATTGGGCAATATTGCACGCGGTTGGTAGGTTCGAGCCCGTCGGTGGCTCCGAACCTGGGGGTGTGGTGGTGTTGTAACAGTGTAAGCATGCAGAAGCCAAACACAGAGAGATGGACACAGGTATTCAGGAAGTAAGAGGCCTTTAGTCACATTACCGATTGAGTCTCAGATGAACTCCTGTTCCAAAATTCTGAGAGACCAACACATGGTGTACATTCCTTATATAGCACTATAACTCCTCCCATTAATAGCTACACCCACATATACCTTTAACCAATCAATGAGCAGAACATAGACTTGTACATCTAGTCAAACCACATGGCCCATCCAAGACAAAGGAAATAAGTGCAATTTCAGTTCCTGCATTCCTGCACATGCTCAGTACATTGGTGACAGTATCCTAACTACGTGTAGCTAACTAACTGACACAACATACACATATGCCACATGGAAATCTTGGCCTACTAAATTTACATTCACCAAAATTCCACCACATTCCCCCCTTTGATGCCTCTGATACAAATTATTCCAGATGCATCACCAATCAGTTTTACCTACATCTCTCAAGTAGCCATTGAACCAGAGTAGACCTTGTAAGCATTTTAAAAACTCCTTCAACATTCCTCATCCTGAATATATTCTTTTTGGGTTAGGGGATCATATCTATAAACAGCCATTACATGAGCCGCTGTCTTTCTCTCTATAGTACTCTCTATAATACTACGTAGGGACCTTACCACTAATGGAATTAGACAGGGCAGAAAAAGACATAAGAATATGATAAACACTACTCCTCCTACTAACGCCATAATTCCTCCAAGCTGCTCATACCAGCTTCCAAACTAACTATTAGGATTATACCCATTCCAGACCTGAGTCGGTACATGTGCAAGTTTAACCATGTGACTAGTAAGTTCAGCCACTGCCTGACCTTCATCATCTATATGCAAACAACAGTTGCTAAGGTTAAACTTTCCGTATACACCTCCTTCCACTGCTAATAGATAATCTAAAGCTAATCTATTTTGATAGATGGCTGATCTCATCCTGGTATTTTGCTTAGCTAGAAGATTAAGCGCTTGAGCTGTCTCATTAGTAATAATCTCAACCACTGCCTGTAGTCTAATAATGCGGTTGAGCATATATATCGGAGTTCTATATCCATAAGTGCCATCTTCTGCCCAAGTAGCAGGTCCATAATAATTAATATTACGTTGAGGGGGCCACTCATCATCTTCCCAACTACCTATATTCAAGGATGCTCTCTTCCTTTTATGATTTACATCGTAAACCTTAACTCCCAAGGTCTCTCCTGTCTCAATTGGCAACAAGAAGAAGGATGGCTTGAGCATACCTAATACACATGCCCCTTCCCAATCTTGTGGTAACTCCGAATAAGCTTTCCTGGGGCTTTCCAACTAGATGTAGCAGATAAGTCAAACCTCCTTAAATCTCTACTCCTGTGCCACGTATTTGGAACCCAAAAATATTTCCAAATTTGTCAATAAAATGCTGGGGATTAGAGATGGTCATATGAACCGGATTACATTCCATAGATTTACAGTGTGGTGTGATAGGCAACCTTTGGATAATCATATCTTGATCCACTGTTTTTCCCCAAGTTGCCCACCCTACACAAGACCAATAGGGACAAAAATTATAATCTCTATTTGGGCAATCAGGATCAATAGATATTTTACTGGGACATGAGTATTTATCATTAAATCCATAACTTCGTTCCCATTTAAGATTACCACATACATTCCAAGATTTTCTACTACCAGAAATCGCAATACATGCATCAAATAGCAGAACACCCGTAGAATGTATGGTATTTATCACAGTCCTATTTATCAAAGTTCCCTGGGAATTACTATTCCTAATTAACAACCAAATTGTACGGGGTTGGAATTGGGGATCGAAACATTTAGACTCTCCTGATATTGGCTTGCACACACTATAATCAATATCCAAATATCTACATTTAGATACAGATCCCTTACATTCATACTGTGAGTGCCAGATGAGAGTTTTGGATATTTGGTTACACATAATACACATAATAAAACACATTATTCCTGAAATCCTCATTTTTCTTCGACCGTGCAATGGCCCCTCAGCTTCCCGAATGTGAGGGCTAAAAGGATGTTGTTCTTCTGATCCTCACTTTCCTTCACAGAGATCCCTTCGACACACTCTGGCTATGACACGTAGGCAGGTGGTCAGGCTTTATTATGGCTGTCAAAACACCTACTTTGCTGATCTCTATAGTTACTCTAGATGTCCCAATATCTCCTCGTCACTCTGACTGGGTTGCACGCTTCAACCGGATCTTGCAAGGATTCTCAGGATCTGGGATAGCTTGCCAAGAGTCTGATGCTGGTTTAACCCTAGAATTATGAATCCACGGAGTCACCTCTGCCACTTTTACAGCTGTTGGGG